ATCAGGACTGGTAACTTCAGTGGAATCCAAATACAGACGCAGCTGTGGTGGGCGGTGATCATACGTGCCTGGTAAGGTATCAGATGTTATGGCAAGATTGTGCCAGACGTATCAATCGGATCTAGATCGAGCCGTTGACAATGCTATTACCGCTCGCATCAAGCCATAGACAGCTCAAACAGGAGTATCTTAAAAATTCAGCCGTAGTGATAATCCATAATAGTTGAAGGTCGAAGAGGATCTGCTGATCAGAATTGGACCCGTTGTACGATTATTTTGTTAGCCGTAGCTCTGGTAGGCTTGTGAAAGAGTTAGTTGTGGTGCGGCGCAGTTGCAACCACTTCTAGGAAAATCCGATGTCTCCGTGATCCTCTCCTTTGTCCCATTTTGCACGGGGTCCGACGCCGAGAGCACCCTCCCTTATGCTGTTCTCGGAATTACCTTCCTTATTCACCCATCCCTACTGCTGAGGATGCTGCTTCTCTTGATTATCCCCCGCCTCCTCGTCGTCCCCTCTTCGTTTCTAGAGGCACTGAATGCGAAGGCTGACCAGCAAAACCAGGAGGACATCCGACGGCGGACAGCCGCATGATGAAAACGCTAGCGTTGTTCATGTTCCTTCGGCACGGTACCTGCCGATCCTGGCTTAGCTGGTCGGAAAATGTGATAAGATCGTTTCCCATCCCGAAAGCTGGCAATCATTGGAGTTCACATCATTTCCAGCTTCGACGGCAAACTGGAACATGATCGACCCACGAACCCGGAAAGGAATATAGAAATGTAAGGCACTGCAACATTTCAAAGACACCTGATTGGGCGACGGGCACATGCAATGCTGAATGTATCGATGATGATGTACTGTGCCGAGGGCTATGCTGTGCTACGCCGTGCTGAACTGCGATGTGCCATGCCGCGATTGTGCTCTATATAGCGTTGTGGATCGAGTCCTCCCTGGCATCCGAATCCTCACCGAACTGATCTGGAGCGTAATCTCGAGCTGCCTGAGCAGATGGTAGCTGCCCCAGAACTAATCGACAGGGGGAACATGCCAAGAGGACGCGCCGCGGAACGTCCCAAGGGACGCGCCAGGCGACGTGCCAGGGGACGTGCCATGGGGACGCACCGCGGGACGTGCCAAGGGGACGCGCTACGGAACGTGCCAATGGACGTGCCGAGGGACGTGCCAGGGGACGCGCCGAGCGACGTGCCAGGTGGACTCGCCACGGAACGCGCCAAGGAACGTGCCAAGGTGCATAGTTGAGTGTACTGTACCGTGCCGACGGCTGTGCTGTGCTGGGCCGTGCTGAACTGCGATGTGCTATGCCGCGATTGTGCTCTATATAGCGTTGTGGATCGAGTCCTCCCTGGCATCCGAGTCCTCACCGAACTGATCTGGAGCGTAAGCTCGAGCTGCCTGAGCAGATGGTAGCTGCCCCAGAACTAATCGACAGAGGGAACATGCCAAGAGGACGCGCCGCGGAACGTCCCAAGGGACGCGCCAGGCGACGTGCCAGGGGACGTGCCATGGGCACGCACCGCGGGACGTGCCAAGGGGACGCGCTACGGAACGTGCCAATGGACGTGCACCGCGCGACGTGCCAGGGGGACTCGCCACGGGACGCTCCGCGGAACGTGCCAGGCAACATGCCAGGCTGCAATGCTAAGGGTATCGATATTGATGTACCGTGCCGAGGGCTGTGCTGTGCCTGGGCGACCTGGACACGTGAAAACACGCGTTTCGCTCAAGACGTTGTCAGCACATCCTCATGCTAGACATCCGCCTGGGCAACCTGGACACGTGCAAACAAGCGTCTCGCTCGAGACATCCTCAACAAATGCTCATGCTAGACATCCGCCTGGGCGACCTGGACACGTGAAAACAAGCCTCTGGTTCGAGACATCCTCAACAAATCCTCATGCTAGACATCTGTCTGGGCCACCTGGAGGCGTGAAACCAAGCGTCTCGCTCGAGACATCCTCAAGACCTGGGCACGTGAAAACAAGCAATCCACTTGAGAGATCCTCAGAATTCAGGTCCCCAGGAGAGGACAATCTATAACACAAAACAAGCGTTTCGCTCGAGACATCCTCAACCAATTCTGAAAAACAAGCGTTTCGCTCGAGACACCCTCAAAATTTAATTCGCTGGCCCTACGCGACCTCGTTATTTATCGCAGAATAATTTCGCCGGCCCTACAGCCGTCAAAACCGGGGGTAAACCTACTAAAAGAGAACCCTGGGCTCGAGCCCTTTCCGGGAAAAATAGCTGCTTTTTATCCTGCGATCGCGCCTGAATTGACCAATAGCTAGCCAGCCAAGGGGGGAGGGGGACGACGGAGGAGGGAGAGATGAGAGGCGCGAGGCAAGCGCCGCAGGCTGGGGCAACCCTGGGAAGGGCGGGGAGGGCAGGGGGCGAGGGGAGCGGTCGGCGGGCAGCGGTCGTGGTCGTGGTCGTGGTCGTGCTGGTGGTGGTCGCGGTCGCGGTGGTGGCTGGCAGGGGTTGTCGTAGCGGTCGTGGCCGTGTTCGTGCTGGTGGTGGCCCTGATTGTCGCCGCGCTGGTAGTGGGCGCAGTGATTGTGGCGGTGCTCGTGCTCGAGGGAACGACTGTGGTCATGGTGGCCGGTGTCGGCTCACTGGTCCAGCCCTCCCTTCTCCCTCCTGACTTATCCCTCCTCGCCCTGCTCCAGCTATGAGGTCCTGTCTCGTTTGTCTGGTGGCCTCCCACCCAAATCAGGTGGCAAATTCCTTGAGGTCTGATTGTTTGTCGCAGCGTGACACGCCCAGCAGCAGGTACACACGCCAGGGGATGGAATAGAAGAGAGTCCTCGCCCTGCTCGCCCTCTCCCCTGCCTCACCTCTCCGCCACGGCCTCAGCCTCGCCGGCCGGCGGGTGGGGCCCCACGCCTTCCCGCAGCGCGTCGCGCAAGCTCCACCCCTGCTCCCCGAAGAGGCAGTTCCGCAGCTGCCCTGCCGGCCGCCACCAGGCCCGGGGAGGAGTGCGCCCACGGGGGGTCGGAGGTTCCCAAAGGCCCAAGCCTCCGAGGACGCGATTTTGTCCAATCTGGACGTTTTGTCCTCTCAAGTTCGGCATCTGGGCACCTTTTCCAGGCCGTGGGGCCATCAACATGGATCCGAAGTTGAAATGATTGACCCAGGGAAGGAGTCGGGACGTCCTGGAGCGGCGCGTTCCAAAAAAACGCGTCGTCGGATGTCTGATGTCTGGGGCCGCCCTAAGCGACCCTGGCCCAAAGTGCCACCAAGTTTCCGGGCCCTTTTGGGCCCCCGCGGCCATATAGTCCCCGGGACAGGGGGAGGGGGGCCTAGAAGCCCAGGCACCCTCTGGAAGGGCTGGGATCACCCTGGCTAGACCAAGGGCCACATTCCGCAACATCCGGAGGGGGGGAGGGGGGCGGGAGCGAAGGGGCCCCAGAGCCAGAGGCGGCTGCGCCACGGAGGCACTCGGTGGAGCTCCTTACGGGGCCACGAAACGTGAGGGGCGTGCCGAAATGGGTCGGGCGGACGCATGCGAACTGTGCCACGGAGGTATTCAGTCGGGCTTCCTATGGGGCCACGAAACGTATGAGGAGTGTACCGAAATCGGTGGGGCGGACGCATGCGAACTGCGCCACTGGGACCTTAGGTAAAGATCCCTGTGGGGCCATGAAACGTATGAGTGGGGTGCCGAAAAATGGTTGACGTGCGCAGGGCGGAGGCAGGGATGGGGGAAGGGAGGGAGGGCAAGGAGTGAGAGGAGAACGCGGGGCGATGCGTATTCAAAACGAGGACCCAACTCCCCAGGAAGGCTGGGAACACACAGGCTCCATCTCTTCCTCATCTGATCTCCCTCCCTCCCCTGCTCCTCAGCACTGCTGCCAGACCCCCCTCCGCGTTCCTCCCTGCTGCCCGCCCCACTGCCTCGCCCCGACCACCGTGCGCCAGGCCGAGAGGTCGGGGGGCGAAAAAAACGTGGCGACGAAAAAAAACGTGGCGACAGGCCGCGCAGTGACCTCGAAACCCTGAGAAAAGACCTCACAGCACGGTCCGTCAACGCACGGTCTTGGGGACCTCGGAGGCCCTGGTTGCCGGTTGCCCAGACCTCTTGGGGTCCAGGACCCGTGTACCTCAGGACCGGCTTCCCCTCATGCGAACATCGCCTAGACGACCGCGTTACCTGCGTATGGACGAGGAGGAGGAGCAGCAGCACCAGCAAATCAGAAGGGTGTGGCGCGAGGGCGGCGGCCTTCTGAGAAGGCGGAGGCCTTCTGAGTCGGGGACCTGTACTGACCCGGGTCAATCTAAACCCGGGACAGTTTGGACTTGCAGCATCCTGCAAGATCCTCCCGGATCCTGCAGGATCTTGCGGAGCCAGTGGTGCACTGGCGCTCTGGCTGACCCTCGCTCGCATTGACCCTCGCCAGAAGGCTCCCGAGTTTGGCGCCCCCGGGGCTGGGAGGCGCCAGGGAGCGATCCAGGCCCCAAAAGCGTGCGGTGACCCAGAGATCCCCACCGAAGGGCTCCTAACTTAGCGCTTCACGCTGCGCGAAGCGCGAATCGCGCCGCCCCCCAGGGGAGGAGAGGAGAACGAGGACGAATCGGAGCCGAACCGCGAGGCGCGAGGCGCCAAGCGCGAAGAACTTCGCGCCCTCGGCGCCCTCTAGGCAGAGGGATTTCGTCACGCGGTGCGAAGTTTCCCCCTCCCCGCCGAATCGCCCTCCTCCTCCTCCTCCTCCTCCTCCTCCTCCTCCTCCTCCTCCTCCTCCTCCTCCTCCTCCTCCTCCTCCTCCTCCTCCTCCTCTATATCCTCCTTCTCCCACTCCTCCTCAGGTTCGCATCACGTGCGGATCAAAATCGCCGACGCTTGCCCACGGACTCACCGCGCAGCGTGGCCACCGCACCGCTTGGGGGCCCCCCGCAGCGAGGGCGGCGCGGGGCGCGCGGCCGTCGGAGGTGAGCCGGAGCCGGCTGCAGCCCCCGCAGAAGGCGTCGGTCATGCTGGCGATCACCTGGCGCGCCACCAGCTGCAGCGCACTGCCTCCCCCGTTTTGTCCGATTCTTTTTCCCCCTTCTCCCCTTTTTCTTCCTCCTCCTCCCCCTTTTCTTCCTCCTCCTCCTCCTCCTCCTCCTCCTCCTCCCAAGCACAAGCGGCGCGCGACCGGGCGGCCCCTTTTGGCTTCGACCGGTCATGCAGCCACTCTCGGCGTCTCATCGCGGCGTGCTTGTGGCAACCTGGAGATCCTGCAGCATTCACTGGTGTGGGTCTTGCTGTTCTCGATGGGTTGGCTAAGACCAAAGAAATTAATGCAGGCATCTTTTCTTCTGCAGCTTCCTCATCGGTGCTGGCCACGTGTGACTTTGTGTTTTACTTCGTCCACGTCGCTTTCGTGCTGACAGGGTGCAGACTGGGTCCTTGTGTGTCTGAGTTTTCAAGCTTTCCTGTGCATCGATTTCGTTGTCCGTCCCAGGTTGCAGGGGCAATGGGGGGAGCCGCTGGCATTTACCCACCCGCCTGCGGTCTGGGCATATTTCAGGCAAGCGGGTATTGCTATCACGACCGTCGTGGAGGACATCCGCCCCAGAGGCGGAGTCGATGGGGGGAGCCGTTGGCATTTACCCTCCCGCCTGCGGTCTGGGCATATTTCAGGCAAGCGGGTATTGCTATCACGACCGTCGTGGAGGACATCCGCCCCAAGTGCAGGGTCGATGGGGGGAGCCGGTGGCATTGACCCACCCGCCTTCTATCTGGGCGTATCTTAAGCTTGGTGCTGGAATGGTGGCTCGTGTTATGCATTGGGAGTTTGTGGGGCCCTCTCCCCATCCCGCCGTGTCCACTGTCGTTCTCTCTGGCCTTGTGCGTGTATGGTCTATGCGGTCGTTTGCACAATTGCATGGAAGAGGTCAAAAGGTCAATTCGTTTTCGTATGCGGATACGATTTTTGGAATTGGTATTGTGGGGCTGTCTGTGGAGGAAGCGATCTCCTTTGGGGGGTTGCCCAGTGACCAGTGGTGCGCTGTCACATCATTGAAGAAAGGCCGCATCGAGACGATTTCACCTCGGCTGAACGTTGCCGATTTCCATGGTTTTGGCCGTGTACGTCTCTTACGATTCCCTCATCTACTTGGAGATGGTCAATGGGTGGTTTGTATGGTGCGGTGGAGTCATTGACTTTGTCATATGGTCATGATCATGATCATGCTCCTCCTCCTCCTCCTCCTCCTCCTCCTCCTCCTCCTCCTCCTCCTCCTCCTCCTCCTCCTCCTCCTCCTCCTCCTCCCTCCCTTCACCTCCTCATCCTCAACCTCGTCGTCCCTGCCTCTTCTTCCTCCTCCTCCTCCTCCTCTTCCTCTTTTTCCTCCTCCTCCTCCTTCTCTTCCTCCCTCCTCTCCTCCTCCTCCTCCCTCCTCCTCCTCCTCCTCCTCCTCCTCCTCCTCTCCTCCTCCTCCTCCTCCTCCTCCTCCTCCTCCTCCTCCTCCTCACTATTCACCCCCTCCCTCTTCCTCCTTTTCGCCGCGCCTTTTCGCCCTCCCCTCTTCCTCCTTCTTAGCTTCCCTGTCCTCCTCCGCCAGATCGTCGATGCAAGGGGCGCAACTCCTTTCAATCGCACCGTCAGGAACGTCACAAAACGATCTGGTGCACCGCACGCAGTCGTGGCCCGCTACTTATCGCACAAGAAGCACCAGAGCCCACCCAGGCGCGGCGCGAGCGTGGCCTGCCTGGGCGCCTCCGCCCGCGGCAAGGCCGCGTTGATTGTCGCGACCTTCGCCGGTCGAAAGTTCATCTGGGAAGTTTGCTTCTCCAACTGCTGGCGCACGTGAAGCTCGGCCTGCTGTCGGTACAGTTGCTCACACTGCGCCTCCCAGTTATCCATGCATCGTGTCGCTCTGATATCAGTGCTTCCAACCGTGATGGTCACCTCGTCACCTGCTGACTGCTTGAGTCGCTGAGTCCTCGCCTCTGCATTCTCGGCCGATGCCCTCTTCGCGACAAGTTCGGCGGTCAGTCGGCCTGCCCGAGCGCGTCGAACCGCCGTCTGTGTGTCCGCCTCCAAGAGAGCGTCGCGTGCGTCAGCGTTTTGGGCTCCTCAGCGACTCTAGTCATCGTCACTTGCTGGGTATCTCTGGCCCCCGGACGACACGCCAGGCCTCCTCTGCGACGCTCGCTTCGAGGTCTCGAGCGCGTTTCTCAGCGGCTGCCTAGGCCTCGACCTCGCGAGCCAGTTCGCGGAGCTCGGCTGGCGATCGCATCGCCTGCTCTGCGGCGGCAGCCTGTTGCCTTCCCTCGGCATGCTCCATGGAGCGAATCATTGCGATACGGTCGTTTTCGGCCTGGACAGAAGCAGCAGTGCGCTGTTGAACATCGGTTCTCATGATATGGTCATTCATTTGCGCCAGCTCCCCACCCCTTTCTTTGGCCATTCTTACACTGTCCTCGACTTCCCAGGCAGCAGTGTTCGGGGAGAGCCGCGCACATGGGCCCTCTGTTAGCGCGCGACTCATCGACACGAAATTCGATGCGTTAGAGCGCACCGTGCGAGAGGAAGACGACGATGCGCCCGACGGGCCCCTCAATGCCCTACGTCGGTCGAGCCCCGCGCCCCTGGCTCGCGGAGAGCGAGTGCCAGGGACGGGGGCCCTGGTCGCACTGAGCTTCAAGTGTCCTGCGCGCAGGGTCGGTCATCCGCGGACTGACCAGTGAGGGAGGTGACCCCAGAGCACAGCCCCCAGGGCCTCCCCCCGGGTCGAGCGTCTGATTTTCCTCCAGCATGCCCTCCGTCTTGGTTCGCTTCACGAGCGGGGATCTGACTGACTGTCTGCTGGCCTCCCGGGGCTGCTTCGTCGCGGGCACTCTCGACTCGGCTGCCTCTTCGGCGTGCTGCTGAGCGGTCGCAGGCAGGCCCACCGTCATCCATCTCATTTCGCTTCGCAGATCCCCCCACGAAGTTTCGGCGACACTATCGTCGAAAGGCGCTGACGCCCACGATGGTTCCTGAACCAATATCGGAGGCGATTCGAGTTCACACACCTCGGACACGCCCCCCGGATGACATTCAGCAGCCGCTTCCAAATTAAGGCGGGGGGTCGACTTGACAGATACCCCTTCTTCCGACGAGACGGTTGCGGGAGCCTCCGATGAGTCTGAGGAAATAACGCAGGCTTGGTGGGCGCCGGCCTGCAACGGTTGCTTGTCCGGGCAGACCGCCCCGCACCATTCGGAGTCCGCCTCCGCCCTATCTGCGTCGGTCCGCGAAGCGCCGCGACGGCCGGGCCTCCGTCTGCCAGCGCACCCCCCAACGACAGCAAGAAGCACTTGCAGAGATTGCGGGGGGAAGCGCGGGCCAGAGCCCCTGGCGAAGCCAGGGGGTCGGTCTCGAAGACGAAATGTTGGGTACCTTTTGAGCAGTGGCATTGCTCTTCATTAACTGTTCACCCACCTCCGAGACACGAAGCACCGCCTCTGATTTTGGCGCCCGTCTACCTCCACCCTGTCGCGCGGCTGAGCCCCGAAACTGAGGCCCCCCCACTTGTCGGTGGAGACTCGAACATGCCACCATCGCTTTGGAAAGACACCGACTTTGCAGACCAGAGCGGCTGCTGCGTGGTTGCCCCCCCCCCCCCCCTGCGCGGATTTAACTTACTTCGCGAAATAATCGAAATCTAAGATACATTGTTCTTTGCGCCCGAGTCCCTCGCCCCTCACATTGGAGGCGTTTCCGCGGGCGCCACCCTTCGAGCAGCGGCGATCGCGGGCCATCGCCCAGTGCTCCTGCAGAATGACTTGGACAGCGACGCCCTGCTGGCTCACCTCTCCACGCCGCCCAGAGCTGCCAGAGCGGTGTCATCTAGCCCAAGCAGCAGATCTATTACGCCGGCAAATTCGCCCGGGCCCGCCGCGCCCGACCGAGCAGCGCCCATTAGATCTCTCTCGCGATGGCCTCGCGCGATCGCTGGACCAAACCTCGGGCGTAATCGCACGGGTTCCCCCCGACTGGTCTCGACGCCATCGCGGTCCCACAATCATCTCTGGAGGCCGCGCCAAGCCCAGGCACCGGCATCGCGGGCACCCCGGTCGGAACCAGCCCAGCGGGCAGTTCAAGCGCCATACAGCATTCACAGGGCCCCAGCCACCCAGTCTCATTGAGAGGAGGCGCTATCATCCCTGACCCATCCTCCACTCGAATTCTCATCGGTGCGAAGGCCGCCTTCGACGCGCATGGACTACGCCATAGGGGCACGATCTCAACGTGCGCCTGACGGGCGCGCTCTTCGCACGACGGCTGACCTGGTCGTAGCCCTATTGAGTCCAATATCGGAGGCATTGGAGGCTGAACCGTCCAGCGAACTTCCGCGCGAGCAGGAGAACAGCACCAATGCGCGACGAGAGCGGGCCCACCAAGCTACCGCCACGCCAGCCAGAAGGCGCATCGGCGGACCAAGGACACACCCGCCTGGCAAGCTGCACGCGTCAAGGCAGGCACAGAATGGACGGCCAGACCGCCCGCGCTGCTGGAAGGCGACGCGCAACGCACGTCGGAATCGCGGCAGACATCGGCCACCCAATTAGAGCCCTTCCTGCCAGAAGGCCCCGATCTCTCCAAGCCCACGCTTCGGGAGAACAAGGATGCTTCGGCTTCTTTCTTGGCCAAAACCGCGCAAACTTGCGATGGCCACCACCCCAAGCACTTTGCTTTACTAGATGATGCGCACCCTGAGGTCTCAAGCCGCATTTAAGAATGGCGGCCGAAGAGCACGGGCAACTCCCTTCGACAAGTCGCATCGTTATATGTCGACTCTGCTCCCGAGGGCCACGCCCAAAGGCCCGTGGGCCCCAGCCTTCAGAACAATCGGACTCACCCGAGCTTTGCATCGGCATTGGGAAAAGTGCCGACAGCCGACCGTTCGAGAATTGGAAAGACAGCATCGCGCGCCGTTCATCGGCCACCAACACAGCCACAGCATTGAAGAGACAGTCTTCTCGCAGGCTCTGAAGCCCGAGAGCGCCAGAGCT